TAGCAGTTGAATGGAAGGGGGAGACAGTGAGTGGCAATAGGTGGTGGCGGAAAGGAATAATTATGAAGGTATATTTGAAAGATTCGACGTGTATGGAAAGGGAGGGGTAGTGCCGCTATTTTTGGGCTTTTCGTACCAAAATTGGAAGGATTTTTTGTAAAGAAGCTTTACAACGGTATGGGCATTCCAGTCTAATGCAGAGATCAATTAGCTTTTCAATGTTCGATTTGTCTTATAATTTTTTATGTTCTTTAAAACTTTTTTCCTCGAGCCGTTTTCGATATATTGATTTTTGAAAAAATTTTCCCTTTTTAAATGCCCATAGCTTTGAAGAAAAAATGAGCCGATTGGGATCACAATTTTTAGTTTTTAATTTTCAAACGACTTGGAAGATAAAATCGAAAAAAAATTCAAAATCGTATTTCAATAAAATATTAAAATTTTTAACAGACTTCAAAAAAAAGAAAAAGTCATGACTTTGGACCACGTGAAACGATTCTTTTTTCATCGGAAAGGTGGTACCTCAGGGTGGTTCCATACTAATTTGCTTTAGATCCGATTATTGGAACTGAACTCAACTGTACTGTAAAATGTTTAAATGAGAATTGAAGTCGGTTGTGTTTCTTGGTTAAAAATTTCTTGCTAATATATAAAATGTTGATTTTCAAAAACATGTTTTTTTTCTAAAAAACTGTTACTTATTTCGCAACTTTCAAGCCTAGTCCGTTACTGTAATAGAAATTATATAGAAATAAATTTTTTCTATTCTATGTTCCAAAAGTGTTTTGTTAGGTTTTTTAATCTTTCGGTTGCCATCTAGAATTGAAGCATATAAAAAGTAGGGAGACACTTATTTTTTATTTTGAAATTTCTCATGTATTTTTTTAAAGGATTTTGAAATTTTAAAGATATGATGAATTAATAAAATTATTTAAAACAAGTAAGAAAGTCTAAGTTCGGGCGGAGCCGAACATTAAATACCCGGCGCAAGTATTAAATATATGTTTCTTCACCTTTCCGAAACCTTCCGCTAGATGGTAAGCCGGGGTGTATCAATTTTGAGTAAATTGGCGACCTCCAATTTCGAAATATTGAAGTTTCAAGCATTTCTGAAATATACCGTTACATGAAAAGCGGCCGTAATTTTAGTCCGATTTCATTAATTTTCAACGCTTTGCTTTCATGTGTCAAGCACAATAACCACACCGAGTTTGGTACAAATTGGTAGAACGGTTACCGATATACATATATGTGATCATAAGTGGGCGGTGCCCCGCCCTTTTCCAAAATTTTACCATAAACGTATTTCTTGGTAAAGAATTGTTGCAAGCATCAATTTTGAATAAATTAGCTTTAATATTTACTGATTTATCGAAGATTTTGTATTTCTCTAAATTATCGTTATATGGGATGTGGGCGTGGTTATCGTCCAATTTTAAAAATTTTCGGCGATTTTGTATGCTGTACCAAGGCCAACAACTGTGCCAAGTTTGGAAGAAATTGGTGCAGCGGTTC